TTTTGTAAAAGGAATTGAATTTGCGAAGAATGCACAAATTTGGTTTTTTTTTTAACAGAAATTTCCACGAAACAAAAGGATAGTATCAATATCTTAAAACGTATCGTAATTTCTAACTCTTAATTACATTGATTTTTAATGACGAAAAAAAAACAACCGCACAAAGAAACAACCACACAAGATATTACCAATTAAGTCGAATGAATAATATTTGTGAAATCAATAAATCTTGAAGTATTCTTGAAAACTGAAATTTTTGCATATTTTGCTGAATGCTAAAAAAAAAGCCAATCCAAGTTAACATTAAAAACACAGCCATAGGCTTTAAACCTTTCATTTATAAACTATAAATTTCTAAATTAAATTAAATTATAAAATTCCAAATATAAAATTTTTGCAATTCAATTTTATTTTCTTATAATTTAATTTAATGCTTTCTGTCTTAGCCTGTATTTCACATCATTTTTAAATCAGGCTTTTATTATTGATTAATTCAGGAAATTGTTGTTACTTTAGAAAACAAATTACGCAATAATGGAAAATTGTCAAAGATGAAACAAACTGTTTGTCAATGAGATTAAAAAATGGGAAGTGATAAAGATAAATGATAAGACCTCTTGTCTTTTCTTAATAATTAATACTTTATTCATAATTTAGTTTTATTTTCGTGTCAAATAGTGAGTAGTTTTTAATTTTTCTTAAATTTTATTACAATTAATCTTTTACCTGTTTTATTATTTACCCAAAGACATAGTGATATAAATATGATTACTGTGTTCTTTACTGAATAATTAATTTCAGTTGAAAGCACTAAAGATGGATTTAAGCATCAAATCTATTTTTCTCATCTATTTCTCTTCCCGCACTTTCCCCGGGGTATCCAGTATTCCCTTCTTTTCACGGATAGACTTTCTTTCTGTGATGAATAAAATAGGCGACAAATAAGCAACTTTTTCATGAATGTATTGCTGATTTTTGATTTTCGCAAGAGTTGACGACATTAAATTTTATTTTTGCAAATTTAATTTTTATTCCTGTATTTAAATACAGCAAAACAACTTAGAACTGAAAAGTTGACTGCAATTAACAAATTGTTGGGTTTAACCAGTAAATTCATTGATCGATTATATCTGAAATAAGAATTTACATTCAAATAAAAATTTCTTCCGTTTCAAAAAAAATAATGTAGAAACTTCAAGTCATTGAAAGAATACTTAATTTTCAACTATTCATATTATTCGAAACCATTACCGTTAAGTTTATGCTTTACTTAAACTTCAACTTTCATTACTGACAGATTTACTTCCCATTTGGGATTTTGTCATATTCATAGATAATTCTAAAAATAAATAAACAAAATTTCATAAGGCATTAAAATTTGAGTCGTTTACAATCATCAGTTTATTCATTCTGCATTTACGGTCTAACACATAGGACAGACTGTTCGTTATTTAAAAATACATTTTAAAAAATTTATAAATTTTAAACCAAATTTCATTTCATTTTTCTTATTAATTTAAAATGAAATTTTATTGAATTCAAGCAGAAAATTTAAAACTTTGCAGGGAAAAAAATTGACGTTGATCGACTGACCTTCTATGGTCAATTCATCTTTTTCTTGCTTCTTTCTCTTGGCCCGACGAATTCTTGATATACCAATGGATAATTCCAATATTGCAACAATTGTAAGTATTACTACCATAATCACCATAATTATGAATAACATTGGGAATCTAGTCATATTTTTCCACATTTACAATTAATCATAGTAAAATTCGAAATTTAATAAAACCTTACAACAATATAATCAACGATAACATCACTTTATAAAGTAAAAAAAAATTCAAAAGAATACCTTAAAAAAATCTTTTTTTTTCAAATTAAATAATATTGACATAATATATTTATTAATAATATTAACATCTCGAAAAAAAAACTTTTTGGCTTTGAAGTTTTTCGTTTTTTTTCTTTTTTCATAAAATTAAATTATAAACTTTTTTTTTGTAAGTAAAATTTTCTTACTCGCCACATTGAAAGAATATCATATGTTGCAAATGTTTAAATGCAGCTGTTTTAATCATTTCTATATCATCATCTGGTACCATTTCACAATCCAAATTAATTCCCAACAAATTACATTTATTTAAACAATCATTTCGGGCATACAAATATCGATACTGTTGAAAGTATGCTTTTCGTTGAAATTGTTGAAATATCCCTTCTGATAGCATCACTTTAATTCTTACATTTTGTAGTAAAGTATTTTGTTCACCACAATATACACCTGATTCATGTTGCTGTAAAAAATTATTGAATAAATATATTAATATGGGTTAAAGCTTATTTTTTTTCTCCTTTTTTTTAAACAAATAAAATTGTTAAAATAACAATTAAAATTTTCTATTAACTGTAAAAATTGATGTTTGCAAAGGCATATACAATAATGGATTGAGTTGTTTTTTAAGATCTGGCCTATTACGAAGACGTTTGTTGACGATTACAGCAATATTACGGAAATGAATTGCTGGAATACTTTCACATTTATGTGATACGCACTGAAAATTTATTGGAATATTTTGAAAAATTAAAAAATTTGTTAGAAAATAGGGAATTTCCGAAAACAATACTATCAATAATTCGCAAAAGATTAGTATATAGATAATATAGCAGTGCAATTATAATTAACTACTACATAGTAAAGTTATTAAAATATTAATTAAGATTTTTATTAACTGTAAAAAATTTAGAATATTGTATTTATAAGAAAACTTTAGAATATAATGATTAAATTTCTACTTTTATTGCACAATAAACAATGTAATAATACTTTTTGTAACACTAATAATATTAATTAGAAAATGATAATCTTAAACAATAACTGCAATATTCTTTTTTTTTGGATCTCCTTAATTAATAATGATTGTTGAGTTGAGTAACTTGTTTAATGAAAGTTTGCAAAGTTTCGAATTAAAGGAACAAAAAAAGCCAGGAATTGAAAACTAAATTAGCCAATTAATTTATTTTTTAGACCATCTTGTGATTATGAAATCGATGACGGTGAAATTGTTGAATGATGCAATATATTAAAATTGCAAATAAATAATTATCTTGCTATCTTTTTCGGTAATTTTATTAGGAATGTTAAATTTATTTAAATTTTAGCACACTTTTTGAAAATATTTAACAAATCAATTGTTATTATTGTATTTTAACCTTTGCACTTTTGCAGGCTTCTAGTGTTGCACAGATAGTTTGATTCTTTGCATATTCTATACAGTCTCTCTAGAATGATTAATTTACATTTTAGTTTATTTAACAGCTACATTTATGTTAGTTGTCATATCAGTAATTACCCTACCAATTACCGTGTTAATTACCACTAAGCATATATTGTTTTCACGGCAGATGCTTATCATATTAATAAGTAGGTATTATTTCTCATTTAAATGCTCATAATCTTATCAGCACATGAATATCATCTTATCAGTTACACATAATATTAACACATAAGTCTGACATAAATTGAGAAGCGCGCCAAAATCATTTGGAAAGAAAATAACATGATAATAAGTAGTGTCCAGATGCATCGGAACATCGTTTCGTAAAAACTGCTTAACTATTTTTGAACAGCTTATGCAACAACAATATTAACATATTTCTCTTTTCGAATCATCCTTTTATATGTTTAAAACTTCAAAATTTTCTATGCAAATTTAAAGTTTGACAAAATTTTTGAGGTTTTTGAAAGTTTTGAAAAGCTTTTTGGCAAGTTTAAAATGTTATGCAAATTTCCAAAGTAATTTCAAAATTAAATAAAGAGAGCACTTTTATTTTTGATTTAGTGGGGTGATATCAGAGATATCAATAATAATAAAACACAGTTAATTTGTCATACGAGCAAGAGCATGAAAGCATATTTTTCTTCATTTGACCAAAGATAATTAATTTTAATTGAGAAATGAACTTATGATGTTATTTACAAATTTGAATAAATGAATAAGTAGTTTAAGGAAATGTTTGGGATAATCATATCAAGAAATTTAACAGTGTTACAATAAAGTTCACTATTACCACCTTTTTTATTTGCGATTACTAAGATTTCGTTCCAAATTTTAACGAAAAGTATTCAACTGAACACACAACTAACAATTTTCTGAGTTTTTCCGAAAGTTAAAACATTCCGATAGGTTACCAATTACACTTCTACCTACTATTTTATCAAGAACCCGGTCAGTGCCGGATCTAGTTATTCTAAAGGATTAACAGCTGATAAATGATTAGTTCTCAGTTTTGAAGTTCCAAACAAACATACGACAAATTCAATTACCAATTTGTGTTCTCCCGGTAGATTGATAACTCTGTTTGCTAACATTGCCGATTTTTGATCTGTGAGAAATGGCCGGATCCAGTAGATTTTAATCTACCGTAACAGGAAATTAAAACTCAAATGCACAGCTGATAATTGAACTATGGAAAAAAGCAAAGCACTTTTGAGCATCCTCTTTTACCATCAATCTCTACACTCTCTTCGATTCTAATATGAATTCATCCCTTTACCCCTCTCTTATTCTACAATATTTCTTCACTCCAAACACGTAACTAAATTTCTGCACCAATTTCTGCAGTTTCTAAACATCATAATTGTTTTTTACTCTTTTTCTTTACAGGCAACATTTTTTTTATAATCTTTAACCGTCTTGAATCCTCCAAAAGTATTGCACTATTTCTCTCGCAGAATGCAACAATCAAATAGCGAATCCAGGAAGTGGTCGTGAACGGTTGTCTCCTATACGAGTGGTGTCAACGGTCTGATCTACATTGTAGTATATTCTAGGTCATGAAGGAAGAAATAAGTGAAGATATGCGAGAAATCCAAGATATTGATGATATCGTCGCAGAAGTTAGTTCGTTTCCTTTCCTTTGTACTCTAGAAATCGATCACGATCATTGAGTTCTTTCCTGTTCACCGCGAATTTTTTAAGCAGATCGGTAATGTTATCTAAACTTTTACGTGAGACAACATTCCATGTTAAGCCTGTCTTTTCAGGCTTTTTCAGGTCTTTCAGATCTTTTCAGGTCTCAAGTAAGTAAAGCTATCCCTGGTATTCTGGTTGATTTCTTATCATTTGAAAGTAATCATTTTGGTTATGCATTTTGTTTATGATGCAATACCAGAAAATACATTTCTGTTTTATTTTCTAGCATCAGGTATTGTTGTCATAGAAATAAAACAGAATTTGATGGATTGTAGTGGTGAGTAGAGATATTATGTGGCATATAATGAGGCTATACCAGAAACACATTCAATATAATTTATCATTTCATAATAGTTATACTGTATAATAGGTTTAGTAATTTGATTTGTGTTCATCTTTTGCTTGTACACTCGATGATGTTTACGGCCTGGTTTTAACGTAGTCATCTGTGGTACAGTTTTAATCTTTATCTTCATGTTTAACTTTCATTGCCTTCCTTCTTTTGAAGAGATGATTAGTTCGTAATCCCTAATAGCCAAATACATGTATGTGTTTTAAAAGCCATCATCATCAATAAATCACACTGAGTGTTAAATTTTTGGTGATATTAGCACGAAATAACTGTTGTTCTGTTTCCTCTCTGTAAGACGATGATTATCTTGAAATTGATGTTGATTTCACGACATCTTACATCCTTGCATTATGCATTCACTTTTTAAAATTATTACATATCATTGAAATTTGTCCACAACTTTGTTTCCGTTACAGATAGATGTAATACTTTCTCGAAATCCTGGCAGCAGCGAACTTTATCGTATACAGTACCCGATACGTAAAGTAAATCCATTTGGCTGTGGTGTTGTCAAAGCACGTTACAAAAAGAATGTCAAAGTGGTAATAATTTTCTTCAGTTTTATGTAAAAATTTGCTTATTTCAGAATTACACCAGAAATGCCGTTAATTAGCTAACTAGCACTTTTCAAGAGATATAGCAGATTTTCGATGTCACATCAGCAAAGCTGAGTTGAATTTCAATTTATCATATCCTTATATATCGTTTATAGTTGGAAATGCGATTACCAGTGGATAAATTGTCGAGCTCGTTTGATAAAGGTCGTGCGGAACATCTTGCATTGATTTCCGGAACAAATGCAGGAGCATCTGCGGCTGATAACTTGTATGTAGTATTTTAGGGAAATTTAAGTTTACTTTTTGAAGCTTAACTTGCTGTATTCGATCTATGCAGCTTCTACTTTTCAAATAATAATTTGCTCGATCTTCCAGTTTTGACTTGGAAAAAAACTCTAGGTAGTGAATAGCTTTTATAATTTTTCCTCCAATAACAATTTGGCGCCATTATATGGCTTAACTTTTCTTAACTTTTTGCTATGCTCTCCATCTCCCTAGATTTTGGATTTTTACAGTCTTTGAATTTAACAATTCAAATTAATTGCTGTTTTGATTAGTTTTCTTTATCAACTTCTGCATTTAATGTTCTAGTCGAATAATGGACGAAGAAGTATACGTCGGACGCAGTTTTGGAAATGATGCACCAGTTCATTATGCTGTTGGCTTCTTCAAAAATCGTTAGTTCTGTCAAATTTAACTCGAATGTAAACATTAATTTGAAAGTTCACGCATATTTCAACATCTTTTGTTGAACGACCATTTATCATGAAATGTTTCTTCCAAATCATTTCAGTATGAGAAAACTATCAAAGATTCCTGTAGGTCGAAACTGTTTTTTGCAGAGTGTTTGTATATATGTCCTTTGACCGGCACTTTTGATATGAAACGTTCAATATCCTATCTGAATGGTCAAGGAAAAAATCGTACCGCCAGAACTTCTGAGGGCAAGAAGTTTTTGTTTTTCACTTTTAATTCATTAATGTCTTATGTCACTTTTTTATTGCTTGTATATTTTATAAATTTGTTTCTGAGTTTTCCTTTGATTCGTTTTCAATTGCAAGCAAATTCCCTCATTGCACGTTTATGACTCAGCCGTTTTTTACCTTCCATCTTGCTTTTGTTTGTGATTATTTTAACGATGTTTCTTTAATTATCTTGAGCTTCACTGTCCGATATAGCGTACTCACATTTTGATGAAGAGAACACCAGACAGAGTATCACTTCATATTTCAATGTTCAGTGAGGAAACACTACAAAGTTGCTTCATACTTAGAGCAAGACCTATATTTCGTTTCTAAACAAGTGTATCTGATTTAAAAATATAATAAGGTGAAAGGTTTCAGATGACATGTCTGATTCGGAGGAGGAGGGAAGTTCTAAAAATCCATCACCGATTCGCGTCCGGTTCAAACGACCCGAAACGGAACGACAGAAAAAGCGTCGTGAGCAATCGTCAGCTCATCGAAGTCGTCTTATTGAGCAAGATCCCTGGACTCCGCTAAATATTAATTGCATGGCGGTTAATTTGTTTGTTATTTTGAACATTTAGCGAAATTTGTATTTTGATTAGTGTCTCCTTTTGAAACTATGTTCGTATTTGTGTTAGAGAACAGCTGTTTCGCATGTTCGTTTGAAGTATAATATTTTTTGGATATTGTTTTATAGGTTATCTGTTTACGCCTTGTTATATTTAATTTATTAATTGATTTACTGCAGGATACAGGATCGATAAAATATAATGAATCCTTGCTTTCCGTCCCTGTTACAATGCTTAATTCATGCACAGTTCCTGATCCTGTACAACTTGTTCAAGAAGCTATTATTGGTGAGAAAATGGATGCCCTGTAAGTCCTTTTCGTGAATTGCTGTTCCATATATGAAGTAGAAGTTTCTAAGTATTCATGAAGTATTCTTAAAACTTTTATTCTTCAGTGATTTAAACGACTGCAAACAATTAATATCACTTCGACGTATACGACATCTACCTGAAGTCCAACAAGTTCGAGCCCTGATGATAAAAGGTTGGAAAAATTTTTTAATAGTGGCAAATAGTTAATTGTGGAAGCTTTTTATATTGTGCAGAAATTTAGCGCGGTGCATATCAACGAACGAAGCACAACAATATGTTTCGAAATGTATTCCTCGACACTTGCTCATATCACGCATTCGTGAATGTGCACGTTTGGTATGCAATATTTGGATCCTAAAGAGTGAATTGCTTTACCCTGACGAGGCATCAGTGCTTCACTATGCCCGTGATCTTGTCCTGTGTCTATTTAGTTCTAATCTGCCTGTTAGAAGGTAATTTTTCATTTGCAGTAAAGTAACATTAATGTTTAACTGGAATTTTTCCACAGAAATTCCTTCGTAGTTTCCTCCTTTTTTTTGTTCACTGGATCTGAGCAAAATCCCAATTATACGGATAGACTTAGATTAGTTTGGAAAAATTGATATATTTATGCATGAGTAAGCAAGCTATGGATCACGTTTTCTCGGGAATCATTTTAAGAAGTCCCCAGAAAAATGCATCATATTCAAAAATAAACATGTATTCAGTTCAGAAAGTTCGATTTTTGAGTTAAAAAATCAAGTCTTCAGGCTAGATTTACAAATGGCATTCGGCTTAAGTACTTCTGATCTTGATAGCATTTTGAAAACATTAAACCGAATAATGGTGGATGAACATGAACGAAGCTGGAAACTAAGACATGATGATGTGGAAGAATTTGGAAAAAAGTATGGAATACAAATTTTAAGAATTCAACATAGATTATATTCTTACATTTCATCATCATTATGTTGATATTGTTAGGTAATCATATCATGTAGTTCCGTGAGGAAACCAAATCTTTCTTCAGAAAGGTCCAGTTGGCCTAGTTGATCCAGTGGATTTACTGTTCGAGATTCTTTTCATCCTCCATTAGTAGTTGTTTTATTCTTGAAGGTTCTTCAGTTTGTATTTTCCTTCCCCACTGTTGTCTTTAGCATTATTACCATATGAATTATCTTTGATTCTTTTTCCCATTAAATCATTAGTTTTACTGAGCTTTCACAGAACAGCAAAAATCAAACACATTGTTGCAGTCCTTTACCAAAATAGATCAGAAAGATTTGCTTTCATAAAAATTTTTTCGAAAGTTGAAATTGAGAGTATATTACTTACATCATTTAGACTTACGAAGTTTTGGCTTCCGAATTAGAGTTTATTGTTCCAACTGAAATTGGAAAGTCGGAAGCAGCCTATCTATTTTTCCGAACATTGCAGCAAGGACGAGTTAAAAGTGTTTATCGAAGAAAAACGTTATTGGCATAAACGTTGGGAAGAAATACATCGTTATCTAATGATTAGGAAAGAAAAGGCAGGAAATATCATACGGAGGAAGAAAAGGGCTAGTAGCAGGTTGGTCCATATTTAAATAATGGTTGATCGATAATAACGCTTGGAATTCTTTTTTTAAAGGCTCGATATGAGGATGTTATCTCAATATTTTTTCGGTTGAAAGATTTTTTGTATTAGGCTTCTTATTAAAATACAATTTCTTTCTCAATTGCTTTTCTTAGTCATAAATTAGTACTACCATTTATATAATGAAATTATTCATGTAACGAGAAGGTTACTAATTTGTCTCCATCTATATTGTCCTAATTACTACCACAAATTGAGGAGAGCTCATGTTCTAAAACATTCACACACATTGAAATGCGGGTTAAGTTTAGCAATAAAGATTATCACTCTTCGCTATGTTTTAATTTTAGTAATTTGATAAGTAAACATTTCTTACTTAGACAGAACGGTTCAAGTGATAAATCCCTAAGGAAACGAAGCAGTACGAAGACAGTGGTGATCGACTGAAAGAAATGGTTCAATTTCATTGTGAAAATCTTATCGTGTTACCGATTTGTTTATTTTATAAAGTGAGAAAAATACTCATAATTTTCAGTTTTATCAGTATGTCATATGTTTAAGTGAGTAAAAGGATTGTGTCTGCGATCCACCGTTAAAGTATTAAATTAAAGAAAAGACGAGACATCTCGAGGCAACTATTCGTGTAAAAAAATATTCTTTGACCCAGACATAAGTCCATTTTACTTGTTCAAATGTGAAAAAAGTTAAATGGCAAGATTTTGGTCGGTTATAGGACTCTTAAGAAAAATAGGTCTCAAAATTGATTAATCAACAAATGTCTCAAATTAGATAATAAAGCTGAATTTATTTATTGTGATGTGGCGAAGTTCTGCCATTGGTAGTCTTTCCTATGTATCTCAAGATTTCGAGACATCTCCTCTACAACCCAAATCTCATAGATTTCCGAAAGAGAAATCGGAAGATTGACTTTTTTTGCAAATATGCATGGTACTACTACTACGGGCACCAAAAAATATCTGAAATTAAGATTTGAAATATCGGCATTGATCCTTCAATTTGTTATCTTTTTAATTAACAGGATGATGCATTATCAATATCAGTGTATGAATGTAAATTGTGAGAGGTTGCGAATGATAAACGAACAAAGTGATAACAATCCTCTTTTGCGTGTGTTACAGTCTAATTATTTTATCACAAATCAATGCATCAAAGAAGCCTATGAAAGATTGCCAAAATGGTGAAAAATGAATTTGAAAAAATTCCGGAAAGCGTACTTATCAACGTGTTGAATAGAATTTCGGTTAATATATGTGGCTTTTGTTAGGTTAACGAAGTGCGCAATTACTATCGCAGTTAATAGGTATTAGGCGAAACTTCCTGAAGTATATAATCCCGAACGTTGCAAGCCATCGCGGTTTCCCATTTGTCCAATTTAAAAGTAAAGAAACCGATCAATTTTGATAATTTCATTTTTAGATTTATTGCATATCTTACAAATTTATTTGGTTTTCATTTTTGCTTTTGCACATTTAGGCAACTAGCATGTTTCACCACTCAAATCAGCGAGGTGTTAATGGGCTTCAAAAATGTCAATCAAAATCCCAAACTTTCATTTTATTCATTAGAAGGTATATTTTCATTTAAATTCAGAATCTCTTCTATCCGAAAATGTACCGTAACGATGGAAATCACACGATTCCCTTGCTTCACATCAACACTATTATATTCCGTCCCAGTGAATGGTTGCGGAGCAAAGTATTTTGCAAAAACTCACAGTTGCGAATGGTTCTTATCAACTTGACCGGAAAAGAGAAACTGGAGCGAAATAAACGACCAGTAATGAATGAATTTCTAAGTGACCTTATATATCTGATTTCTTTGATTTAAAGGCATTTATGCTCTTGAACAAAGAATTTTAGCACCTTTGACAATAATAACATCACAAGTCATACCGCCCTGCAGCGTTGGCACAAGTTCCTTTGTCGAATAAATCATCTAAAGGTGTAGGCTCACCTTCGATCAAGTTCCTAAGTGACCTTTGCGTTTCACGAAAACATCGTCAGGTAATCTGACATGGCCAATCGTTGATGCCTTAGGGCGAAATCCAGCCATTTTCGCAAATTCCTTTCATTGCGGTCACTGATCTTAGATAATGCTGAATGAGATTAAAATTTGCTTTATTTAACATCCTTGACGTCAAACCATTGTTTTGCTGTAAACCCTTTAAACTACTATTTGTGATTTTCGTAAGGTGCTAAGACAGTCATTAGACAAAGTTATTAATTATAAACACAAAAGGATTGATTATTGGGATAACAATAAAATGATTCATTATGCAAATCTCTTTACTATCGACAAGGATGCTTAGTTGCATGGATGTAAATTAATAATGGTGTAGTAATCACTAAATCACAAACAATAAAAATAACAGGAATTTTAAAGGC